ACGCTAAGCTTTTCGAATCCGCCGAATAATCAGCCGAGTAAAGGAACGCCATTCTTTTCGAACCTTCACCGTATTCGAACAAACAGGGGGAACGCCATTCTTTTCGAACACCCTGAACGCCGACTTTTTTTTTATTGCCTGCTAAGGAAAGAGTTGCATGTTTCTGTAAAACAACCCTTCTCGGACAACTTCAAGATTGATGGTTGGGCGGGATTCCTCGACAACAGTGTTTTTTGTTGAAGGAGTTCATGATATTCTTTAGTGAGGGAGAACAATCAAAGAAAATCAAAAATTACAATATCCCGCCGGTAGGCATTGAATTTTGTATGCCCACCGGCAGGGGAAGAAGCGTGTTTGAGGTCTCAAGAATTCAAAACTTGCTTTGATACCATGTAGAAATTAATAAGAGGGAATCAATTTCTACACCAAGGCCCTAAATAGACTAGAGAATCCGCTGCTGTCCAATTCCTCGTCCTCTCTCTCTATCGAGTATCGGCCGCAGGAGTTCCCGCTGCAAGAATTCCGGCTGCAGCAAATCAGCAATCAATTCGTCCAGTCATCCTCTTTCAGTTCCTCGTAGGTGGAGTCAGGACCCCAACACAGCAGCAATCCCGATGGCAGTGCTCTGCCGTAGCCATCAGCGGTAAGTCCCAATTCCCAAATCTAATTTCACAATTGTTATCATTTAATTTGTTTTTTGAATTGGGTATGAAGTTTCAATTCTCAACTCTCAAATCTCAATTGTATAATTTCAAATTGCATTCTCCACTAGCATTTAGATGATTTCATAGTTCGAATTCAATTACTCAAGTGATTGCTTCATCCATAATAAGTTGTAGTAGTAATGGAGTACTGCTCAGGGATTGTGTCTGTAAGGGGCTAAGGGGTGATGATGAGAGATGACTACTCTTCATTGTCTAAAAAGGCCAAAAACAATAAAAGGGTAGATTAGGATATTAAGTGCAGGGATTGATGCCCAAAAGCTTTAAAATAGCCTTCAAAGGTAAAAAAACTTAACCCACTATAAAGAGGGAAAAACTACAGATCATTTTCTACCGATTCTTTTATATTGGATTTTTATCATCTTTGCCATTTTGATTATTTCTTATCCTCACTTTATTTGAACACACTCATGATGCAAAATATTGAGGAAAATATGATTAAAGATTTTGATCTAATTGATTTGTGCAAGTTGACAGAATAGCCTGAGTATGGAGAGGTAGAGTCATACTCTCATATTCAAAATGGTAATGAAAACAATGAAGCTCACGAGAATTCAATTGATGATCCTAACATTGACAATGGTATGGAATATGGATGATGCTGAACTTCAGATTTTTGTGAGACTTATATCAATGATGATGATGATGTTTTTGCTGAATTTGGTATTTTAGAATAATTTTGTAGCTAGTGGAAGACTTTATACTTTATGGTATGGATGATGCTGGACTATTTTTCACTTCAAACATTTGCTCGATTAATACTTTATTTTTTTAGCATGAAAATTGTATGAACGTGCTTTAGTTTTTCAATTTAAAGCAAGATTGTTGTTTTTTATTCACTTTATTATTTTCTTTTTGTGAATAAATATGTGCGTATTATAAGACGTATTTTATATTTAGGAAACGTTTAATACACGTACGTATGCGTATACGTATTTTGTACGTATGAAACATATAATAAGACGTATTTTATAAATTTTTAACGTATTATACACGTACGTACGTATTTCCGTATTATACTTTTGCCGTATATAACTAACTATGCGATAGACAATTCACTACCTAATGAGTAACGATTAAGAATTGTTGGATATTCACTTCCAAACGAACAATCGGGTTATATAGGTCACATGTCGTTTTTCATACGGAAAACTGGGCTAAAGACAAATGGACTGTCAAAATGAACTTTTAGACGGACACTTTAACAAACGAGGTGAACTAAAAAGTAGCTCTGATACCATGATAGAATTTAGGATAGGGAAATGGATATTGGATTGGACCATAGGACACTTAGATTGAACCACACTAAAAAATTGAATTCAATTAATTACTTAATTCAGCTCAAGAGCTCTTGTATACCGGTTTGTTTTTTCTTTAAGTTCAATTCTGATGTATGTGAGATACTCTTCAACACTTACAACGCCGTTAATTGCCGAGAATCGATCATAAGAGTTTAGGCTCAGACAAAATTCTACAATTGCTTATATTAGGCATGTTTAGTTATAAAATGTTAAAAGTTAAATGAACATTTATCGAAAAACAAATAATACAATAATAACTTGCATAATTTTTTTTTTCTGAAACAAAAAAGACACACGTTTTCGTATGCATGATGTATGTATATATATATTGTCAAAAAATTGTAGAATGATTTTTTGTGGGACGAAAAATAATGTTTAACTAGGTGGTGCATTTTACGTGTGGGAAGATGAGTAAAAAGGATATATCGAGGTGCATGTAATTAATTAAGGAGATTAATTGGATATGATTCTAAATTTTGAACTAAAATTTTACTTAGTAAATTAGGTTTTAGAATCAAACTAAAATTTCGTGTGTTTTACAATCTGAGTAGAATCCGTTTGTCCATGTTAGGTCCGGTCAAACTTACCTAATCATATTTACACCATCAGATAGAAATGGAAAAAGTCTTTTAGAACGAATAAAGAAAACGAGAAAAATTTTGAGGGACAGAAGAAGTGTCAATTTTTGTAAGTAGTCAACCACGGACCATAAAGAGGCAAAGAGCAATTCGTAGTAGTTTTTAAATATCACAATGTTGTTTTTGCTAACCAATATTTGAATGAGATGGATGGTTTGCTTTATTAATTAGGCATAACATAACCTTTTTTTTTGTTTTGCATTTCACTCCATATGTTAAAGATATAGAAGAACTAATTCTCTCCTATTCACTTTACGAATAAGCTTGGTCTCTTAATTACTCGTGTACAATCTATTTAATCACTTCATTTACTTCATTCGTCATATATCTTTCTTCTTGTTTGACTTTTTTACAGTTTTAATGTAATATTTTAACTTTTAATATCTTTATTTATATATAAAAATAGATTGTAAAAATATAATATCTCAAAGTTACATTTCAAAATTAATTTATTGATAATTTTATATCCCAATTAATTTCATGTCTTTTTTCTGTGATTTGTGGCCAAAGATTCAAATAGTTGACCACAAAAATTAAAATAGAAAAAATATTTGGGATAGGGGAGCAATTTTGTTTTTGGAAAACATCTTCCTGAATTATCATTGCATTTAAAGTAGGTAAACGAGTAAAATCCTTAAAGTATGTGGATAAAAATAATAAAATAAAGAAGTAAAAAGGTTCGTGCCCGATGAACTTATTATCCAATTTTCGTTATAAAAAGTAAAAGTGAATAATAAAAAAATACGACATTCGGACTTTCACACAAACAAAAAAGTAAATATAATTATGAAAAGAAAACGAGTCTTTATTTATTTAATGTGCACAAATAGGATAAAAATTTAAATCCAAAAGAAAGATACCTACGGATCGGAGCATATATATTTCAAAAAATATTTTTATCCTTTAAGAATATACTTCCTCAGCTCCATCCTAAAATAATGTTCGCATTTATTTTTTCTTAGTTAAACTTTACAAACGTTAATCGAGACTTATATGAAATAAATGATAAGTTATAATAATGTTAATATAATTATTCGTGAATTTTAAAATATAATTTTGATCTGGCAAATTTTTATAGAGCAATATTTATTTTTATAAAAAGTAAACTATTGATGGTCCAAGAATTATATTGGTGATATTGAAAAATCTAATAGTATAAAAAATTGGAAGAAAGGGAATACTATTTTTGAGGACCATCCTACCCCTAGTATTAATTTTAGAACAAAAACACTTTTTTTGGGTACAAGAACAAAATCAATTTGCAAAAAAGCACATGATGATCCATAGGGTAAATGAAAATACCATGACTATGTCATTAAATGCCAGACCATTAATTGAACCTCAAAGTGATGATTAAAACCATTTAACCTTGAATTTAATGATTCATTGAAAACAATAATCACACATGCATGTGTACTTGTTATTTGGAACTTTCACTGAACCTCATACCCCCTCCCCATTCCAAACACAGTCACAAACAAGCAAGCTAGACAAAAACATTAAATGAAACTCTGAAAAATTCCTTGAATTGAATAGTGGACCAAATACTCTAATTTTAGCTTAATAATAGGGACAATTCCACCAATTTAAAATGAATCATTAAAAATAAAAAATTAATAAAAAATGAAGAAGAATTGTTTACTGTCCATTTTTTAATTGTTTTTTTATTATGATTTTCTACATATACTAAAAATTAAATGAATATGGAGTACATTCTGTTTTAAATCATATAATTTTTAATGTATTTGAAAAAAAATATAATGAAGACTAGTTATTTAAGAATAAAACGACTAATTAATACTCCGTATTATGAAGACTCTACTGGCCTGAGATGAAGGAATATATATTTATAATTACATATATAAAGTGTACAAGAATTGAATCAATAGTTATTAAGAAAATAACAAGAATTTTATTCAATTGGAAATTAAAGCATCGAAATATTAATTACCATTTTCTCCTTGCAAACCCACCCTTTCAATCCATGAAGCTAAGCTGATTGCATCTGGAAGCTAGGGGCAGCACTGGTCTCTTCTTGATGATTATTATTACTCTTCATAATATTATTATTACTATTATTATTATCATTAATAATATTAATATTGCTACTGCTAATAATATTATTATTTCTCTTCAATACATTCTTCTTTTTCTTCTTCTTGTATGGGATCCCTCTGGCCTTGGCCTGAGAATCCCTGACTTCCCGGAGGTACACCCGAATCGCCCCGCTGGCGAACGGGTTGGCCTCGGGCAGCCCGCCGTTCTCCTCGTAGGCTGCCCGGAGCCGGCCGATGAGAGCGTCGAGGCTGCCCCAGGCCTGGCGGAGCGGGCAGGTGCAGGGGCCGGCGGGGTCGGGCTGCCCGAAGAACACGCAGCCGTGCAGGTGGACCTTGGTCTTCCCGAACTGGTCGAGGTACTTGAGGAAGTCGAGGACGTGGGTGTAGTGGCACTGCGACAGGGCCACCGGCGCCGGCCGCTGGTTCCGGAGGTACTGCCCGAAGGTGTTCCAGTCCCGCCGCTTCTGCGACTCGTAGCGGCTGAGCTGCGGGACCGGCACCGGCGGCGGCATCTGGTGCGTGGCCATCGCCGCCGCCATTAGTCTCGACGTGGATGAAGACCCTTCGCCGCCGCCGGCGACGGCGAATTCCCTTCTCTGGTCCGTACTGCCTGACGTCATCATGGCCGGACCGAAGAGAGAGAGAGGGAAGAAGGGGAAGGAGGAGGAAGGAGACTGGAGAGTTTTAATTAATGGAGATTTAATACTACTGCATAATATACTGGTCGGTGATTTGATTTTTGCTTAACCCTTTTATTTAACCAAATTATAAATGGAGGGGTTATATTGACACTTTTTTTTAAAAAAAGGAAATTGACACCAATCCAATTAAATTAAAGCCCCTACTATAATTTTATAAATTTGAAGGGTCATATTTATATGTGAAAATAAAGCTAAATGAAAATAAAAATATAATTAAGAGGATTATGAATATAAACTAATTAAGAACGCTAGCTTTTATTGTTTACTTTAGATCTCTACTTTAATTTTGCATTGAGGTTCATATTCATTTTATAAATCTTAATGCAATGATATTATAGATATCATAGATAGATGGATCTTTTTTTTTAAAAAAAAGGGGGGGGGGGAATCTAGTTATCACTATTTATAAAGTGTGATATGTTCACATTTCACATGTGGCCCTTAGATTCAGAGAAAAGAACAACTCTTAATTAGGAGGAAGGGAGTAGCATGCTTTTTTATGCTAAATAAAAAAAACATTCACCATAATGATGCAATAAAAATGTTCTTATAATTATTTCTCCATCTAGAAATAAACTTCTCGCACTATTAATATGACCAAAATTTATTTATTTATTTTGTTTAATATAGTAATATTACCTCTTGTGTTGTAAATTTTATATGCTTTTTTTTAAATGTATATACTTTTAAAGTTTTAAATTTTTAATAAAATTGATTAAATTAAAAATAAATTTAATCAAATATCATAAATGAAAAAATAAAATAAAAGTTCTTTCGAAGGAAATATTCTGAAAAATAGTTCACCAAAATATTTATCATTAACTAAGGTCTTGTTTGGAAAGAATCTTTTCAATTACCGTTAGCATTTGAGATAAAATTCTAACAATATAGATTAACTGCGAAAACGGTAAAGTTAAAAATAACTGTCAGATAGTATATTGAAAACGTTTAATGAGAAACGAGATCTAATTTAGTTTGAGGAACAAATGATCGATGGAAAAGGGACATGTAGTGGGGTCCAAGGGAATTCAAACGACTTCTTTAGTTGTGTACTATTAGCACTAATTTTGGCTTTATAATAAGCTCTAGAAAAAATTGTTACCCGTATGACGGTATCATTTTCATAAGAAATTTTTTTAGTCTGTTAAGAATAACAAGAAATATTTATATTAAATAGCAGTAAAACTTAAGTTATTTTTCTAAATAGCACTTTAAATTGTTTTATTCTATAAGTAGCACTTAATAATGTTAATAATGACTTGTGATGGTAAATATTTACTTGAATAATGACTAATGGATACTGTCTAAAAGTGATAATTGAGAAAAAACACATGTAGTGCTATTTAGGGAAAGTCATTATGTTTTAGTGTTATTTACGTAAATTTCTCGAATAACAATTGTAGTTAATGTTTTTAAACTACTTTTTAAAAGAACAAATTTAGTTAAATAGAATAAAAATATAAAATTTAGGAATAAGTCTCTAGATAAGATTAAAATTATGAAAACAATAAAATACGTAGTATGAGTCCTAAGTCTTTTAAGACAAAAAAGGAGTTTAAAGTAACCATTAACCAGCCATCTTTCTTACTTTCTTTCTTTCTTTGTGTTTGCACATCACCCTATAGGTTTGATTAGCAAAGTTGTGCGAGGAGCGCATCTAACGGCGCATACAAGTGCAATCATTAACTCCAATATTAGCAGCATTTAGCACTTTGGTTTTCACCCCTACTGTGCCTAATCATCATTTTATTAATTAACTTAGCTAAGTGCCAAGCAACACGTTTTTTGAAGGCGGGAACGTCAATATTATTATTACGAGTATATGACGTGCCTATTTGGGATTAGCTTTAGAGGTTAGTGTTAGCACTCTAAAAATATTAATCAATCTACGGACATCGTTGCGTTAGCGTTTTCAAAGTTAATCTGTACCGTTAAAATTTTATCTAAAATACTAACGTTGTTCGAAAACATTATTTTCATACGAGCCCTACATCTAGAGAAGAGCAAAAGGACCGATGAGATCAGACTGAACCGGTCTTTTACCAATTGGTCTGAACAACAAAAACAGAGACCAAATAAGACCACAGGTCTTATTTAGTTCGGTCTGTAGTTCGATCCGGACTGGCCCCTTGGGCCTAGCCATAATGTACAAATAGTTTATTTTGGTTAGATCCAACGGTTTTTCTTGAACGCGGATCTATAATCAACAAAGTTTACTCATTGTACACTTGTAGTCTTAGATACTTACTAGTACTCAACATATAACATGATGATTTGATTGTATTTATATACGTAGTATATTTTTTGTGAAACTTACATTAAATAGAACTAAAACATAAGTCATTTTCCAATGTAGGACTTAAAACTTTTTTATTCTCTAAATAGGAACTAATAATGTCTAATGGGAAGAATAATGTTCAATAATGATATACATTTATAAGTTGAATAATGACTAATTGAAAATGACCAAATGTCCTACATTGAGAAATAAAAACATATGATCCTATATTGAGAAAATCATTATGTTTTAGTCTTATTTATGTAAATTTCTCATATTTTTTATGTTCTAACATGATATATCAGGTCAATAATCTAAAACCAAATTTAAATACTTCTTTCGTGCCTTAAAGATGACACTTTATACTCCCTCCGTTTGAAAAAAATGTTCCTCTTTTGACTTTGTGTAAAAATAAGAAAGTATTAAATTGTAGTTGACTTCCAATTTTGCCCTTGATGTGATATGTAAAAGTAAAATGTGATAGATAGATTATTAGAGATAAAATATGATGTGATATGTAAGGTATGAAAAAATAAGGGTAAAAGTGGTTTTTTAATAGAAAGTGGAAGTGTTTTGTTGGAAGAGAAAAAATTAAAGAGGAAGTGTTTTTGAGAACAGAGGGGAGTATAAAACATGACAAGTCTAATTTTATTTCTTTTGTACATAAGCTTTAAAAAGTTTGGACCAGTCATATACTACAGTTGTGCTTAATAATATAAGATTAAATAATTTAATTTTTTTAAAGCCAACAAAATAAAGTAATTAATGGAGATCAGTTTAGGGGCTTAATCAAAACCCAAATCATAATTGGTGATTTGATAATGACAGTTAGTGGTCCACATGCATATGGTAAAAAAAATGAGTCCCCACTTCCAAATATGCCCAATACTTACAGTCCTCTGATTTCTTTTCATTAATCCAATTTAAGGGCATGGGTTGAAATTATGCAATATGAGTTGTTAGAATCATTAACTTCTTTGATTGCAATTAGTCCCAAATTGTGCACTGCTTTTGGACACTTAAAGTTTTTTCCCATTTGAAAAAAAAATTGAAAAAACAAACAAACCAAACACGGCACACCTATTACTTAAAAGGATGTTTGTTCACCCACTCTTAGGCTTGTTTTTCTAATTTCTAGGGTTAGCAAACTAGATATAGAGCTTATTGTATTATGTATATGCATATTTAATTTGGTTATCATATGATATCAATGCATGTTGGGAACAATATTTTCATAACCACAACCACGTTGGACGTTTATAAGGGTTAGCTTAGCCGGCGGGTGTTGCAGAGTTGGTAAGTGCCCAGAAAATAAATCTGAGTTTGATTTCTTTCAACCGCACACTAGAAGACAATTATGGTAAGCATAGAGCCTCTGCAAGCTAAGTACACAGGTCTTTAAAGAGATGGTTCATCCTTTTTATATAAAGGTAAGATTAGGTGATTGCCCGAGTAACTCAAGTGGTTGCCGGAGAAAATTTTTTGTGAGACATGTTATTAGTTTTACATAATAAAAATAGACACAAATTAAACCTACCATTGATGTTGGGAGAGAGTGTTGTGATGTCTTTCTTGCTCTTCGTTCTCTCTGTATTGAATTACGTTATACGGAGTATATAAGACCATGTATTATGGACAGTTTGACGGGACTTGACAGAATATAAAAAAATATGACATGAAGTGATAAAAAATGTGTGTTGTGGGATTTGAAAAAGAGGTGTGATAAAAAATTGATGGGTTGAAGATGTTGATTATTTTTATTGTTTGAAACAAAAAAAATGGAAAGCCGCCAAATGATATTTTTATTGTACCAAAAAATCAATTTAACAAAACGATATTTATGGCTATGACTCTTCTGATCTCCAGAATGAGGATTGGAAATTTGTAGATCTTAGGAACGAAGAGGACAATTCGACGGCATTGAAGAACGAAAGTTCCGGTTAAAAATATTTGGCAAAATACTTAGTTCCTAATAGCCATATAGGCCTGCTGGTTTGGAAATAGCATTAGAGATTAGCGTTAGCGTTTTAGACAAAATTTTAATGACATAAATTAATTCTGAAAACACTAACGCTAAAGCCTATCGTCGGATAAGCTTTTCAAAAAGTTAACGCTAATATCTAACACTTATGCCAAAGAGGACCATAGTGACATATTCCGCATACCCATGCCATATGACCTGCTGAATTGGTAAAAGAATGCTCAAATATTATACTCCTTCCGTTCCAACAAAAAATTTCACTCTTCACTATTCTAAAGTTTCGTAAACATTTATTCATTTGTGTGGTTTGATCGGTTATTTGATAAAAGAAATTATTCTTGTCACTCTTTGTGTTTTATAATTTTTGACGTAATTTTTAAATATATAAATTTTATTTTAAATTATATACCAATTTTTAAATAAAATAAATTAAAAAACTTAAAAATTCATTTTATTTTGTACTCCCTCCGTCCCTTAAACTCGTTCCCCTTTCTTTTTTTTCTTGTCCCACTAACTCCTTTCCTTATTTATTAAAAAACCACTTTTACTCTTTACTTTTTCATACTTTATCTATTATATCATACCTTTTTACTAATAATCTATCCATCACATCTTACTATCACCTATCACATCAAAAGTATTTTTGGAAAGTCAATACCAAAATATCTCTTCTTTAATTTTCAAAAAAGTCAATAAGCTAAGGATTTAAGGGGCGGATGAAGTATAAAGTGTAAACGTTTTGGATCAGAGAAAGAATATAAAGATATAGGAAATACGATTAGTCGATTATAAACGAAAGGATATCTTGCGTTATTTTGTGTCGAAATGCATTTATTTTTGTGAGGCCCAAACCATATGGGCATTTTATGGCCTTTCTTTGAGGTGCTCTGGGCTTTATTTTTGATGTGATATCCGTCAACAAATATTAACCATAGCTTCCTTCGTCTCAAGAATGAATTCAATTCAATGAGGCTTAAATAGAGCCCAAGTTAATGCCACACATGGAAGAGAGGATGACTTAGGACTAGCATTAGACATGCTCTAAGGTCTATGTTTATTTTAAAGATTTTAGTGCAACGATATCATACAAGAATTGAATTGGACCTCTTAGAGCACTATAAATGAGTTTGAAGCCCCAGACTTCAAACATACTCTCTCTGCTACATTAGCTTTAACCTCATTTTAACTTACATCATATAATCTTACTGAAAATGGATTTGAAACTCATGAGCTTCAAACTGGAGTTTCAAACTTTTTTTAAATTTTTTAACACACATTTTGTAAAATAAAATTAATAAAATTTAATTAATTAATTAAATTAAATGATAATAATCAAGTAAATAAAAAAGAACATTAAATTAAAAAAAGTTACATTAATAAAAAAGAAAGGCTTAAAATTTACTTGAACGACTAAAAAAATTTAAAAATTACATTACATTGAGCGACTAAAATTATGTTCAATCAAATCCGCCGTTTGTACATCGTGAATCTCTTATCTTCGATTTTCTTGGCGGTTTTTGCGTTTCTTTTCTTCGTCGATTTCTTCGTAGGTAGACACCTCCTTGTTCGGGTTATAGTGACAAATTCCAAACTCGTTGTCCTTCTATAATCATATTATGAATAATAGTACACGTGAATATGATATTTCTCATTTTTTGTTTGAGAATAACACTTGGACGGACGATCTATAACGTGCCACTTATCCTTCAACACCCTGAAGGCTCGTTCGATATCCTTTCTTGCCACCTAATGAGTTTTTTTGTATGTACGTATATCGCTTAAGACCGATTGGTTTCGAGAGGGACTTGACAATTATGGAATAATCTGTATATATTCAATCGGAAAGATAATATCCACGATTGCAAAACATTCATCTAAGCTCAAAAGACGAGTCAGGTGCAGTCTCATTAAACCAATCATCAAAGACGGGCGATTGATCAAGAACATTGATGGTGTTGTTCGAGCCCGCAACACAAAAAAAAGCGTGACAATCGATGCTCCCAGTATGACAATTTTTCCATTCTCAATGCGTGCAATCGATACTCCCAAGCATGCCGACAAAGTCATATTTAGTGGCATGTATTGCCTGTAACTGCTCAATGCTGCTTGCCATCGGCTTACATAAATATCTCTCATGATAAAATTGAATAATAATTTAGGAAAATTAATATTCTTCATTGCGTTAGACGTTCGACGCGTTGTGCAAGACACCTCGATAACGGAAATGAGAGGTGGTGTTTAACAACCTATCAGCGTTAAACAACGGATGACGCCGGAGCGTTAGGCGTATTTCCACTCCCCTTACAAAAATGAAAAAGATCACTTATTATCAATTAAAAAAAGTGAAAAAATTCACATTTTTTAAGTGTAAATTTTAATCGGATACAAGAACATATTTTATCGTAGTGCTGCTCTGGGTGGGAGAAAGTCTCCAATTCCCTGAAATTCACACGCCACTTTATCTCTCTCTTCAAAGGCCCCTTCTCACTCCGTACTTTTCTTTTAGCGTCCAGACTCCGGCAGATAGGAGGAGCTTCCGATTCAATCATTCAATGGCGAACAGCAATCTTCCCCGCAGGATCATCAAGGTACCGTCTTTTTTCTGCCGCCGATCTTGTCCGTTTCATTTTCCGGTTCAGCCGATTACTTGGAATCGGATTTCATTTGATCCGTTTTTTCTTTCTATTTCCGACTCATCTAGGGTTTCGATTTTGCGATCTATCCTCTATTCCGATCCATACTCAGTAGGGTTTTCTGTTAATTGTGTTCGCTTTTCTCTTTCAGGAAACTCAGCGGCTTCTCAGCGAGCCAGGTAACTCTCTGTCTCTATTTTGTGCCCGCGTTACCTACTGACACAATTGAAATTATAAACGCATGTGTATTTTGTTGTGCTCGCATCTGTGCTGGATTTCTTGTTTTCTTCTTTGCCTTGAAGATATGTTATGCGCCTCGTTAGTTTTGAACTTGAATAGTACTCCTTTTCTTTCTAGAATAAGTTTCAAGTTTGACATTTCATGATGTACTCCGTATAATGCAATGCTTTGACTATAAATATACAAAGTATATTTTTAGGGCTTGATCTATTCACCTTAATTTTAGCAGAAGTTTGAAATCTGAAAAACTTGGAATCTAAACTTTGATGTGTTGTTCTAATGGTAATTTTAATTAACCTTTGGAAAGCGTCCATGTATTAAAATATTATATTTCCACTATTTATTCATAGTCTATTCTCTATATCCCGTCGATGATTTCTACACCCTATTACAGCGTAAATATTATGCTGAAAAATAAAAATATAGGAATCCGAATACTGATATGGAAAGCAGTAACTAGGCAGTAGTTGGTAAATGTGATAAAAAAGTATGTTAGTACGGAGCACATCATAGGAGATGAAAACTACAAGACGTGTCCTAGGATGATTCTAGAGTCCTAGAGAAATGTATTTTTAATTAGTTCAACTTTATTCTAGGTGTTTGCATTGTTATTTGTTAATTAATTCTTTTTTAGGGAGTTTCAGAAGACTCAACAATATTACATGTTAATTTTGAACTCCTCAATTTTTTGTTGCATGAGCACAATTTTCATGCCCTCCAACATAAGGAGCCACCCAGCTTCCACTTTCAAAATCCCATCATTGTCATGTCATATGATCCCCATATATGTGTTGTTAGCCTTTCTAAAGTGTATGCAAAAAGACAAAACACTTTAAAAAGAGCTGTAAGAAATTTAATACTATTCAATTTGATTGCAGCACCTGGAATAAGTGCTTCTCCATCCGAAGAGAACATGCGATATTTTAATGTGATGATTCTTGGTCCAACACAGTCTCCTTATGAAGGTAATTCATTTTTCTTTAGACAAGATATGTGAATATCTCATTGTTTATTTTCTCTTCTTCGTTTGGTTTCCTCATTACTTTAAATTGATTTCTGTGTGTGTAAAACGTATGAAATCTTACATTTTTATTCATCTTCTGGGGAGAAATGTAAGGGTAAATTGTGTTTCACTAGTTTATCCCTGATCCAGAACATAATGTCATCTCTTGCTCTGATGATAGACTCAGCTTGATTTTTCACTCAATGCGAGTTGCATGAATTTTCATTGTAGGAGGCGTTTTCAAGCTGGAATTATTTTTACCTGAAGAATACCCAATGGCTGCTCCTAAGGTATTCTAATAACTTCTACTACATCGTTCGTACTATTTACAGTGTCATCCTTTTTCCCGTTGGCATGCCTGGAGGAGTGTAGTAGTCCAATCACATGTTTTTCTCTTTCACATCCATCTTGAATAAACAATACGAAAGATTTGGTTTGATATTTCTGTGAATTCATGGGGAAATAGTTCATTCGGAAAGTAATTTTCTCCTACCAAAAATTGCAACTAGCTTTTCTTGATAGGAATGCAATAAATACTCTTGTCAAGGTGTCAACAAACAAAATAAACCATTGGAGCTGGGGTTGCAATGGTTATGTCTGTACTTCTGTATTTGCTTGATTGCATGTGCATTTATTTAACCCAATGGTGTCATTAAGATGTTGTATCTTATTTCTCCTCTTTGTAATTGCTACTTCCTCTGCTGAATTTCCATTGCAGAGCTACATGTACCGATTTTAATTTTGTGCTGAATATGTAATGTTCTGATAGGTGTATTAATTTGGAATACTTAAAGCATGTTCTATTGATATGAAATATGAAGGCACTTATTCCAATGACTGCCCTTCATCCCCTTTCCATGAAATCACCATTCCTACCTTATATTTGACAGGTTCGGTTCCTCACCAAAATCTACCACCCCAACATTGATAAGGTTTGTTACACTTGCTTCATCTCAATGCATTTTGAAAATAAAGCCGTGGCTTTAGAAAAAACAGATAATTGAATTATTGTGTGCAGCTTGGAAGGATCTGTCTTGATATTCTTAAAGACAAATGGAGTCCTGCTCTTCAGATACGAACTGTGTTGTTAAGGTATTCATGTTTCTGGTATCTCTACGGTTTTGCTGACTAATCATCTTCCCATGTAGAGTTTCTCTTACACACTTGGTCCTAGCTTTTTGTCTACTTGGTGCTTTTTGGAACATTGCTCTGCATTATAGGAAGCTAATTTGTCTGTGAGCTCTAGCAGAAAAAAGAGAGGACTGTGGCAGTCATTTAGAGTAAATGAAAGAGATAACTATGGATTTGATACTGGTGTTTCACTTAGGCTCTCTCTCTTTCCATGAAAATATTCTCTCCGTCTTGATTTAGTTCACTTTCTTTAAAAAAGCATTTTTAAGAAATGGGTTTAAAAATGTCAAATAAAATCTTCAAATGAGTTTGTTATTCATGTCAAGTTGTCAACAATGCTTATACCATATGTCTAGGATATTTTAGACTATTTATAATAATTTCTTTAATATATATGGAAAGTGCACAACTAATTTTGGACAAACGGAAATAAGAAACTAGGCAATTAAATCCGGGCGGAGGGAGGAGTATGTTTTATTTCGAAACATTTTCCAGATTTTCTAGAAGCCGTTATCCTTAAGTAGTTTTTAAGAATTTAAATTTTCCTATATTTCTGGGTCAAATATTATACAGAAAAACAACTAATTTTCCAGAATACATTTTCCTCGATTTCATGGAAAATATTGTTCACTGCTAGTATCACAACTCAGTTTTTAACCATCAAATGGATCCTTAGAATTTCCCCTTTTTCTTTAGCATTATAAAGTGTTATCTCCTCCCCCATCCCATTAAAAACTGCACGGCACGACTGATTCAAGCTGCCTTGTCAATGCCGAAACTTAAGGTACACATCATAAGTTCGAGAAAACTCACGCGGTTTAGGTCTGCTAGGAGAAAGACTTTTGTAGCGCTTCGTAACCTTCTGTTTGCTCCGGCTTCGACAACTTTGTCCACGAGTAAGTGTAGGAGATAAACATGTAGAGCTGATTAAGACTTTGCTGGTGGGGATAGTAGTAGTAGCAAACAAAAAAACCTTTTTGTAGCAAAGGAATGGACACGTTTGTATGCTAATGGTGCTTGAAGGTTGTCGGAATGAAATGAAATGCTTTGCATATAGAAGAATGTGAAGTGTATTGTATTCAGCTGGTGCCAAGGACGACGCTTTGTGGAACAAATTGTTGTTTAAGTATTGTTTCTACATGATGCTTTACCCTCATCTTTCTTTCAGAGATTATTTTCTGGATTTTCTTTTAGCCAAAAGGAAAGACATATGAAAAGATTCTTTTTATGGTAAATGAAATTGCAATGTCTTATTTACCACATCCATTCCATAATTTTCTTCATTTTCATTTCCCAAAATTTACTCCCACCTTTAAATATAGAATCGGTTCATGTTGGAGGAAAGAAAATTTGTCTTTGTTTGGCATTTTGTTTATGTTCAGTAGCTTGGCTTGTATTTCTGCCTAGAGTTAAAAATGGTTAGCAAGCCAAATTGTTGGCAAATATTATTTGTGGTCAGTGGTGTACACAAGAACAAAAAAAGAGGGTGGATGAAGTTGTTTTAAACCCAATTTCAAATTCCCATCTTATTTCTCTTTTGAGTTGTGCTTTCATGGTTTTAGAGTCCACATATGAAATATAAAGTTTTTTACAGTTTTATTGGGTTGAATGTGACTCTTTCATTTTTTTTCACGAACCCAATTCATTTATAGTTTTACCTTTCTCTTTCCCCCCTCACAATTAGGGGTGTTCATAATTAGGTCTGATTCAAAAAAAACCAACCGGACCGGACCAATAGATTCAGACCAAAACAAGACCGTCTTGATTTAGGGATGGTTTCGGTCTTGATTATTTATTGTAAATTTTTGGCCCATTTAAAATATTGGCTAAAAATGTTATGGTTATGGCATCTTGGAGCTTGGAGCTCGTGACAATTTTTGAACGAAATTCTCCATTGAATCGACGTGTATAGTTACCTAGAAATTTCTCCACATATTTTTACTTGTACAAAAATGACTTTCGTATAAATGATCTCACTGCAGATATCATACATGATAGAGTGTAATGTCATCATTTGATTCATGTAGCTAACCCCATCTAATGGAAAAAGGCTTTATTGTCGTTGTTTTTACTTGTAAAAAAAGCATTCAAGCTAAATTTTGTCAAATTTGGACCCGTAAGTATTATTTAGGTGTCTCGTTAGATATCACTCATAAAACAAATTCATTTAAAGAAATTAAAACTAAAACCCTTGTTTTAAAAATGTGATTTAGAACCTTCATCTCATAAATAAAAAAAAGAATTGTTTCATTTTACTAATGTCAAAAAAACATTTGTTGAAAAAAGAAAAAAGTTCTAAGAAGATAGGAATGAAATGAATGTGAAGTGGGATCATAATAACTCTTAGCTAGCATTGCAATGCATTGAAGTACTATACTAAAGTGGTGTGTATTGGAAGGAATCTCTCATTCAGCTGCTCCCTCTGAACAATGTCTGTTTTGGCTGCAGAATGGGAAGAGGAATCCAATGTGTTGTTATTATTATGAGTGAAGTGAAATGAATGAGAGATAGAAACTTGACTCTGAATATACATATGTTAGAATTAAGCTGTTTGATTTGACAAATAATAAAAAATCCCCACATTCAGTTCAATTCAACTGTACCCCCCATCTTGTCATGCCTCTTCGTCCTATAAAGAATTCTAGATTACATAAAACGAAGTGAAATTTTAAATTACTTTTACGGAGTAATTTATTTTATTTAAAGATTGGTATGAGATAAAAAATGAAATTTACTTATTAAAAATTTTGTAAAAAATTCTATAAAACAAGAATCTTTTAAACATAAATGAATCACTCATTCCTTTACTTTTTAAATAATTTTCTTAAATGGTGTGATATTAAAACTAATATCTCATGCACTTTGGAGATCATTTGAAGATATCAAAACTCACTCTGTATTTCGCATGCTAATCAATGCCCTCAAGCCAAATTGCCCAAAGGGATGCTAGGGATATGCCAAATATGTACCCCAAATGTACACCATTCATTTTGTTACGACACGTTTTTATTTATTTTTTTCTTTTTTAATTACATATATAAGTGTGTTGCTTTGAAGGACTTGAGGTACATTTGGAGTACACTTTTGGTATACCCCTAACATTTTCCATGGTCCAATTGTTCATGATAGGATTTGAATGGAGATGGCGTACATTAGTTTGTTTTTTCTTCAAAACTACTACCATAAACGTTAGAGACCATTTGACAAAGACCCCTTTGTAGGGTAGGGTACCCTCACTCCCGCGCATGACCTAATCGAAAGATGGAACGCCCATCTCGGGCAATCCCACACCCCGGCCCGACAAGATTGTGAGAGGGTTAATCATGGTATAATCTAAATCTGGTATTAGAGAGGCCATCCCGTGCCCGGTGTGCAAAAAGAGCTATTACAAATAATAAAATTTCCACATTGTCGAATTCGACCATAGGATCAACGGGCTTTACATCTTCTACTCAGACCCGTTGAGTTACCCATGTTCGACTATGCCTAAGAGATGATAGTCTCGTCTATATAATGCTCTCTTTGGCTTGAAATTAATTTTTTTATATCTTGAACCCGCTCCGAACTCCTCTTCCGTTTACAATGCGTAAGTGATGTGATTTTAATAAAAAATAATCTACTCCCTTATCAGTAAAATTTAACAAATTGTAGATTATGGATTACATTAAAAATATATACAAAATAAGATTGAACATAATTATATTATTATATCAAATGATAAATAAAAAAGTATAAAGAAAAAAATATAGTTCAACCTGTAGTAAGATCTTTTAATGTGCTTTATAAGTATAAAGTTTTATATTCATACATACAACAACAAATCCATTATAAGGCCTAAGAATCAATGTCCTTATCTCATGTAATTAGCAGAGACCATTTCCACCAAACCATCAATGAACATTTTTTTTTCAATATTAAAAGAAAAAAGATACTCCAAAGTATATTCATCTTTTAAACAGATTCAAGTCTACACTATTTATTTCTTACCATCTTTTCAATAATTTTATTACTCTCTTTCTTCCAAATTAAATTATCTATTTACTATTCACATAATCAAACTTCATTCACTTTCTTTTCTTATTTTTGTTAATTATTTAATAAAATAATATAATCATGTCACAACTAATTTTATAGATTTTTTGGTGTATTTTTCAAATATATAATTTTTTATTTTTTAATTCTACATTATTTTTCATTTAAAATAATTTGAAAATAACTTTTAACATCGTAATCTGAAACAGACGATTTAAACCAGGACGAAGGAAGTAATTTTTATGAAGTCAAAAAAGAAAAAGTAATTTGCAACATAGGGAGTATTGAATTTTACCTACCATCTTTAGGGGCAAAAAAGGGAATTTAAAAAATACCAAGCACAAATCATTGCTTCATTAAGCATCAAGAGGTAGTGAAGCACCAACACAAAAGCAAAGAGAAATGTGTGTATAAACACAAGAACAAAGAATGGAAAACTTTTATTATTATTGATGAAATGATTGAACAACAAAATATCAATAATTCTAAATTCCAATCCCTTTACTTGTACATTGAAATTTCCCACCCACCATACATCCAATAAATCTCCCTCAATTCCATTTATAGGTTTTATATATCATATAATAATAATAATAATCACACATATATGTATATGCATGTTTTTTATCCTCATCTAATGCTCCTAAGTCTCTCTCTTTGTCTTCTAGCTTCACTAAATGGGGAAAAAAAAAGAATTTTAACAAACCAAAGGATGGGAAAGAAAAGAAAGAGATTATGAGATGAGAGAAAATTTTAAAACTAGAAGGCAATGAGGATTGAGACATTCAATAAAGTTACAAAAGGAAAAAAAAAAAGAAAAAGGGAAATGGAGGTACAAATGAGAGACTATCGTGGAAGGCCGGTCCGGTCTGGTCTAACCCGGTCTGGTACGTGTGGCTGGGGTGCCTGCGGCGATTCTTGAAACAATGTGTGTGAAGGGGAGGAGGAGATGGAGGCCTAAATGTTGATAGTGTAATAGTGTCTGACCGAGGACTCCAACACCTCCGGGCTCGGGCAGACCAACTCCTTCAAACGGCTGCCCTTTCTGTATATCTTGAACGTCGGGCAGACCATGACATTCTCGGACGTAGCGATTCCCGGGCTCTGTTCCACATCCACCTTCAATGAAAATATAAGTTTCACATTCTTAAACTTATATTCAAGTCCCAAGAAAAGGGTCTTGTTTCAACTCAATAAGTT